TGACTTCCAGAATAATTATGTTATGGTATATCATATTATTCAAATTTTCCACGGTCGGTCATATGTTGGAAGTAGATATGAATCAAGACTATCATGATTTGGTTTGTAGATGTCTAAGTTGTTAGACATAGCAAGAGGTGGTATAACACTCATGAGTGCTCATAAGTTCTGAGTATTGGATTCAACCCACACTCACTTGTATCACTTCATGGAGTTTATCTCAAGTGATCGTGAGACGGTAATATCATATAAGTCTTCAAACCTAGAGATATGAGTTGTTGACTATGAGTTGGTTATACATTGATTGTACGAAAACGCATTGATAACTCGATGTTATAAAATGTGCCTTTGTGTATGATTCAACAAGTAGGAGAACAAGCATATGAGTCGAAGTTTATATGTTCCTTCTTGGATTAGAAGTTATATTTAGGCCCCTCGATGATTTTTTTTTTGACTTATGTACCGGGCCCGGTCAGAACTAAATTGATGTATTCGATTAAGTTCTATGTCTAACAAATGGGAAATCGGGAAAGAAACTGTTGGACAATAAGTAAGACATTGTTCCATGTATATGTCCAGCTGATATCTAGAACAGAGGATTATATGATCACTTATCTTAAATGGCATATCATCATCATCTTGGTTCCGCAAGACCTTGAAAGAGCTACGATTGCTCATTGGTTCCTGAAGTCATTCTTGCAGTTATAGTTATTAGACTTATCCAAATGGGAGACTGTTGGATTAGGTGTCTAAGTTCATAACTATTTCTGGAATGTACTTAACCTGTTTAGCATAGTCCATTTGGGTTACATGGCATTGCAACACTTGGATAGACTAAATGAGAGAAATAAGACTTAAGGTTTATTAATGTATTATAAGTTCTAATATATTAATAATATTATTTAATTAGTATTGATCAAGAATTAATTTAGAATTAATTAAGTGATAAAAAAGAGACAAATTAAATATATGAGGTTGATTGTGTAAATCATCTATTCTTGTATAATTGGGTTAATGATCCATGATTTGTATGGATTAGGTTAAAACCCATTAGGTGCTCCATGGATAGTCCATGGAGGTTACAAACTCATGGATCATGGAATATGAAAAACCATGATAATTATAGTTTACATGGTGTAACCCTACTTATGACACAACTATATAAAGACTCCATGTTAACGAAAATCGGATACTACAAGCAGGTAATAAAGTGCTAGCCGGTTTTGAGGTGTAAGTGTACTTTTCTCAAAGTTATACTAAGTGTTGTGGTGTTGTGTGAGATATCTGAGGCATCACACTTGAGGTGCTAGACTCACAAGGTTTTCAAGGAATCCAAGCAACAATAATGTATGTTCTTCTACTAGCATTTATGTTTTAAAGTTCCCCATGTCATGCTAGTTAAGTTAAGAACCTTGGAAAATCATTTTTGCATGTATCTTAATAAAACATAGATCCAAAGTTTCTAGGGTTGCATGTACACCTTAGGAGTGTTAGAATGCTCAAAACCCTTCATAGTCATCAACTCCCACCCATAACAATCATTCCTTCCACAACTACCAACCACCAATCTCAAACCACTATTGCAATCCTTCAATACCACCAACAAACATGTTTATGTATATGTATGTGAGTGTGTATTTGAATGTATATGTATACGTATGTATGCATATGTGTATATGTATGTATGTTTATGTATGATTATGTAAGTATATGAATGTATTAATAGGCATTACAATGTTGAACAATGAAATGAGTATGTCTATGTATGTATGTATGTGTATATGTGTGTATGTATGCGTACGTGTATGGGTAAAAGTATTGATTGTAATGTTAAAGAATGAAATGAGTAACAGACTGAAAGGTGCACGTGGGTCTACAAACGTAGATATTAGGTAAAGTTAGTGAATGTGTAGATAATCATGTATAGTAGATGCGCGGAAAAAAAAAACATAAAAAGGACGTTCGGTTCCTGAAATGTCAAAAATAAAAAAAATCCGTAGGTAATCCACAACCATAGCTTTTTTTTTTGTTCGTAGTGAAAGTTAATTGGCGTATGTAAGGGTGGTTCCATAAGTATTCCATAGGTAATTATTGACGGAATTCCTACGGGATTCCTTCCGTCGTTATTCCTTCGTAATTTCCGTTACTAAACTAGGTCATCCATTTCCGTAGGTATTCCGTTGCTATTCCGTCGCTAATTACCTATGGAAAATTTCTATATGTATTTTTCGTAGGTATTTCTCATTTTTCTACTAGTGTATTTTTTTATTTTATTAATCAGAGATAAATAAGTTTTTTTTAGAACATAAATAAAATTTTCATTAAAACTTTAGTGTAGGAGACACATATTAAGCTTTTTCGTTGTTAATTAGTTGATATTGATACATTAATACGAATGCCATAGCAAAAAGAACCTCAAAATCCAACATAAAACACAAATAGTAAATGAAACCCGAAAAAGCTTTCGAACTTTCTAAATAAAGAAACCCACATATAGACACACAAACTTTCTAAATAAAGAAACACACATATAGACACACACTCACTCACTCAGTCGTCGGTTCCTTCAGGAATTTCTGGGAGCGTATTGAACACACGAGCACAACTATACACCGAGCACACAGCTTGTATAGTCGTCAAGAACAACATAGACATACCAGCCAACAAAGTGAGAAGCTTCCACGATGCAAACACATATTTCTTCATGAACCTCGACAATTTCACCCTCCATGTTTTCGAATACCTTTTGTTCACATCTTCGATCACTTTATCCATTTTGGGAACTTTGGTTAGTTTCACAGATTTGCACATGCCATTCCATAAATCTGCAACCTCTTTGTCACTCTTCAAATAGTTCTGAACTATGCCTCTTTCACTCAAAAGCTTTGCGTCTTCTTCGGTATCGATTATTCCGTTCATTAGCTCAGTGTAACGAGCGACAACCAATGGCCCCGCTGCAACACAAGCTTCGTATGCTACCAAGTTTCTCAAATAAACTTCTGTGTGTACGTCCAGAATGACTACTGGGAGGTATAATGTAGATGTTTTGATATCGAAACTAATGCCAAAGATTCCGTCGTTAACAGGTGAGAAAAGGATCCCAGCTTTGGCCATTTGGGTGACTGATGGGATCTTTATTTCCTCTATCAATGGAACATTGGAATCACTACTATCGTCGTTTGATTTTTCCTCTCCTCCACCATGAATATTTTGAATCATCTTTTCTATGGGTTCTTTAATTACCTTGAACATCGGAATGTTTGACAACATCTTAAATGGTAGTTTCATCATGACTGTGACTGGTTTCATGAAAATTAGCTTCTTGAAAATCCTCAAGACACTTGCATTTGATTTGGAAACGATTTTCCAGATAAAATCTTTGAAATGTTGAAGATCACTGGGCTTTGCAAAAGACTCTTCTTGATCAGCATCATCGGCATCCTCGGTGATACCGTCATAGTCTATTTCAATGGCTTCAATAATATGGAGTTCTTTATTGTTTGGCACAGTCATGTGGTAAAGAAAGTCGAGGAGATGATCACAGTCGTCGATATCAATATCAGGCAGCTCTTTTTCTTTAAATGGAGAAAGCTCATGGTACAATCCCATCAACATGGACTTCAACGTCTCCGCTGCAGACTTGTTTTGATCATCTCGAATCTGATTCTCCATCATCGTCTTCATCAGAAACAATGGGATCTGGTTCTCCACCATAACCAAATCACGAAGAATCACCATCTGCGACATTTTACTCCCGGAAGTATCCACCAAATGAGAAACCAAGGATGTACAATTTTCTACGGATGACCGACCTTGTTCTTTAACGGAATACACGCGAAGGAACTCCAGTAAAAACGCCATGTCAACAGCTAGAATCCAAACCAATACCTCTCCAGACATATCAAGAAACTTATGGTAGCATGCACGGATTCGAGCCTCTTCTTGTTTCCTCATCTCCTCCACCATTTGCTCGAAGCTTGTATTCATGAACTTCTGGGTACGTCGTGCTGCTTCAAGCTTGTACCTTTGCATGTCGTAAACCTCCTCGCGCCAGTGGTGGAAAGGACCTAACGCGACTTGTTGTGGAATGTAGGAATCGGGATCGGTAGCAAGGAGTACTTTGGGGACACTAAATATACAAACGGGGAATTTAGATATTTCTTCATTATCGGGTTCGGCAATGGATTTACGCATGCTTTCAACCCATCCTTCCTGATCGATGTTGGACTTGTTGAAAGAATAGGAATTGGAAAAGTTGCGCGATGAGGCTTCCATGATGGGGGTGGAGTTGAAGATGAGAATGTTGAATGGCTTATATGGCCATATGAATGATCATATATAATGACGTTTAAACAGTTAAAAATATATATACAAAATAAAAAATATTACATTATTAAACAGTGAATATCCGATTATCACACTTTCGAAAATGTTATGAACCATGGGAACCAGCCGTTGCTAATTTATTAGTTCATTTTTGTTTCTTTATAAAAATTAACCAAACAGATCAAAATTAACAATTTTTATACGTTGCAATAATGATCAAAATCCGTATTTTTTCAAGCAAAGAACTTATGTTGTATCATCTACAATTTATTGATCATAATTTTTCAATAAAGTATGCATACTATAACATAATATATATTTCATCTTAAAAATAGATTAATATTGATATGTAATTTGTAATATTATAAAGGGAAAACTGCAATAAAGTCCTTATGTATTGCCCGTATAATTGATTTAGTCTCTATATTTTTTTTTTTTTTGCAATTAAGTCCTAAATACCTGTAAACGTAATCAAAACGGAAAATTTAATGGGTTAGCCGGTATCCCACCGGTACTATACGCATGTGGCACCTTACGTGTACAAGTGACTTTTACCCTTCCATTTCTACTGCATTTGACGTCTAGTAGATCAATTGAGAGAAAAAGTTAGGGTTTTTACAGAGTGATACATGAAGGAAGTAGGGTTTTACTGAGAGAAACGAAGGTAAAACCCAATGGCTGTCGAATCAGAGGTTCACCATGAGTCATCTGAAGAATACGACTCTGAAGAATACGAAGATGATGAAGAGGTGCTCGATACTGAACACATAGATGTGGAAATGGAAGAAGTTGATTTCAAGACACAAGGTAAAGAGAGATGCAAGGATGCTTTCCTTAACTTCAGTTCTGATTATGAAGATAATGAAGCTGATGAAGACAATGACTTAGTTGATGAAGATGAAGAAGGGTTTGGTTCAGAAGAGGAAATCGATGACACTGCAGGGGCTAATGATCTTGATTTGGGAGATACGGTTGGTGCAGGCTTCCCCATTCACGACCCATCAGTTAAGTGGAATAAGATGAAGCCCTTTCTTGGTGAAAGGTATGAATCACCACATGAGTTGCAACAATGTCTCACTAATTATGCTATTAAGTCAGGGTATAACATTAAATTTGCGAAGTGTGACACTGTGAGATTAACTGCCAAATGTGGTTATAAGATGAAGTCTCAACCTTGTCCATTCAGAGTTCATGCTTCCTGGATGACTCAAGAAAGGTCTTTTCAAATTAAAACCTTAGTGGATGAGCACAAATGTGTTAGAAATTTCAATATTTCAAATTGACTGAGTCCCAGATGGCTAGCAAGACACTTTTTGAAGGAGTTGATAATGAAACCTAACTTGAAGTGTAAGGAGATGCAATCAATAATTAGGACCAAATTTCATTGTGGTGTGTCTTGGTCTAAGGCTTATAGAACAAGGTGTAGAGCAATGACCATTATAGATGGTAAACTCACAGAACATTATGCTAGGGTGTGGGACTATTGTCATGAGTTACTAAGGTCAAATCCTGGTAGCACTGTCCAAGTTGGTGTCACTGTAAATCCAGATCAAACAACATACTTTCACAGGATGTATTTGTGTTTTAAAGCAATCAAGTAAGGTTGGAAAATAGGGTGTCGTAGGGTAATTGGTCTAGATGGATCTTTCTTGAAAGGGACATGTAAAGGAGAATTACTCACAGCAATAGGGAGGGATGCAAACAACCAAGTTTATCCAATTGCTTGGTTAGTTGTTGACATTGAAAACAAAGCTAATTGGAAATGGTTTCTGGAACTGCTCATAGATGATCTTAATCTGCTAAATAGAGGAGGGTTTACTGTAATTTCTGATCAACATAAGGTTTGTAATTTCTTAGCATATTTATGATTTTTCCTTAACATCATCTTATATGTTTATGTATTCATTAAATTGTAGGGATTGCTTGAAGAAACCAAGAAAGTCCTACCAAATGTGGAGCATAGATAGTGAGCAAGACACATATATGCTAACTTTAGGAAGACCTATTCTGGAGTGGAGTTCAAGAATATGTTCTGGGCAGCTTCCTTATCAACTGTAGAGAGTGAATTTCTGAGGAAAATGGATGATATAAAAGAGGCTAATCCAAATGCTTATGAACATTTGATTGCAAGACATCCTCTCACATGGTGCAGGGCATTTTTTAGGACTGATGTAGCATGTGAGGCAGTTGAAAATGGCATAGCAGAGTGCTTCAACGCCATCATATTGGATGCTAGAAAGAAACCCCTTCTAGCAATGTTTGAAGAAATTAGGTTGTACATGATGGATAGGTTCGACCATATGTTACAAAAGGCAGAAAAGTGGGAATCAGTGGTTTGTCCAGCTGCTATCAAGAAAATGAACAAGTTTGGAGAGGATTTGAGGTTTCTCTTAGCATTTTTATTGTTCCTTGTTATCATTATTCTAATTTCATTGTTATGATTTCATTTAGTAATGCTATTGTAGGAATTGGAATGTGAATCCAAGTGGACCATCTATTTTTGAAGCCAGGAATTGATTAGAAGGGTACGTGGTTAACTTACAAAGCAGAGTGTGCAGCTGTAAGCTTTGGGATATCTCAGGAATTCCATGTGTACATGCACAGTGTGCAATACTATTCACTGGACAAGATCCTGTTCATTTCATAAGTGAGTGGTTTAATGTGGACAGGTTCAAGGCCATATATGCAAACAATATACTGCCTGTGAATGGTAGAAATTTATGGCCTAGAACATCATACATAAAGCCTCTACCCCCTTTAGCTAGAAGAATGCCAGGGAGACCAACTCTGAAAAGAAAGAGGCATGTCACTGAATCTCAAGATAAATACTCCCAAAACAAGATGAAGGTTACTGTAATAGGAAGGACAGTCCAATGCAAAAATTGTCTTCAAAGGGGTCATAACAAGGCATCCTGTAAGAATACCAAGGTCACACCAGAACCCAAACCCAAGAAAAAAATGGGTAGACCAAGATTGGATCCTGATATCAGTCATTGGACTAGAGGTGGTGTAAGATGTGGTGTCAGAGGTAGTAGAGGTGGTGCAATGGATAGTAGAGGTGTTAGAGGGGGTAATAGAGGTGGTGCAGTGGGTAACATAGGTGGTGTAGTGGCTAACAGAGGTGGTAAGTGTAGTAAGAGAGGTGGTAGGGGTAGTAACAGAGGTGGTAGGGGCAGTAAGACATCTGTTAGAGTTGAAGGTAGTGGAGGTGCTAAAGTTGAAGGTGATACAGTTGAAAATGAGGATGACACTATTCCTGAAAAATATTTAGTCCATTTATGGAAGTCAGTGCAAGATTTAAAACAATCAGGGTATTCAATTGAAGAAATTAAAAATTCACTTAGTCTGACAGATTCACGTATGAAGCAACTTAATGATTACAATGAAAATATTGAACAAGTTCTTCCTATGTCTATGGTAAACCCTCTATATTACCTTAATGTTTACATTCATTTATGTTATTAATTTCTTGATGTTTTATAGGAAGAGGAGTATCCACCTCAGACTGAGACACAAGATGGGGGTGAAGAAATTATCCCTGAGAGACAACCAGAAAGTGAAGAAGAAGAAGGCATTAATGACACCCAGGAATTACTAGTACACCTTAGGATTGTGAAAAGAAGAAGGCCCTCTCAGAGGATTGTTAAAAACAAGCTGAAGAAGATGGGATGTGTTGGGACTTCTGCAAGTTCAGCATTAGAGTTGGATTAGGGTGTTAGGGTGTTAAGGGTAGTAAGGGTATTTTGGTACATCTTTTGTGAATGCTATTTTTGTGAATCTTTTGTGAATGCTACTTTTGTACATCTTTTGTGAATGCCCTTAAATTACTGATAGCCATAATTTGTACATCTTTTGTAAACACATTGAAATATTGTGAATGCCCTTAACATGGTTGGTAATTGTCACACCCCAAAACCAAGAACGGCGGAAACGTTCTGGGGCGGAGGACGTCATGTAAGTATCACAACATAGTAAATGTAAATAAGAAAACAACATCATCCATTGCATTAAATATATAATTTTAATACAAGCGTGTTCTGTACAGTATAGACACCAAAAATAATGTATATCAAAATAATAAGATGAGTCTTGAATGCGCTCCATCTTCTCAAAAGCTGGCCTCGGTACCTGTCTACTGATGACCTGAGAATACAAGTTATTTTGAAAGAGTTTATCAGCATTAAGCTGGTGAGTTCATAAGTATTTTAGTGTCGGTATTTGTCATCCAAAAATGTTTGAACATGTATCAAGTATAAGTTTGTAAAATGTATGTAAAGGTTTGCAATTGTTTGTAAAAGTTTGAATCTCTCAAAAAAACCTATATTTTCTATTAAAGTAGCCTTCTACCAAGGCTTAACTGTTTTGTATGCTCGTTTGATGTAAAAGTGTGTAATTTCCCAAGTGTAACTATCATTTAACAAAATATAGTTTGTACATTATCGTTTAAGTGAGGTTATCACTAAAAAATGTAATGGGTAAAACATTGTAGTACTGTAGTCTTGTATTATAAGAACTACTGTTGTACTAACTACCTTAAACCGGATTTATATTAAGGCATTATGTGATAAATTGCACCATACTATCGACTAGAAACAACAACATAATGAATGGTCGTAATAACGGAATGACGTTTGGCACCCGTAGACCTGCAGGTCCGGCTGTAGCTAGCAGCAAGGTGTAGGATTGTCAATACAGTATAGATCTATACGCAAACTCACGCTCTCCCTTCAAGAGAATTCTGGCTACAACTCGAGCCATGACAGTTAAGTCATGCTCCGATTTAAATCACAATAAATAAAGTATTCATGTATATGTAATGTTTCTCGTTCTAGCATAGTTGTATATGTATTGTTTCTAGTATAGTTGTATATGTATTGTTTCTAGTATAGTTGTATGCGTATTGTTTCTAGCATCCTTGTATATGTATTGTTTCTAGCATCATTGTATATGTATTGTTTCTAGCATCATTGTATATGTATTGTTTCTAGTATAGTTGTATATGTATTGTATTACCCCGATGGTAACTAGCTATCGATGTACTGGTAAATATGAATATGGAAGTACTTTTTATGTCTATACATGTATATATGATATATAACTAATATAGAAACGACCCTCGGATGGTCACCCGAAATCCCACCAGACCACATCTCAGTGCGCGAAAAGGAAATAGGTCGGATGGCCTTCCTAAGCCCTTTAAACATTACTTATATATATATATATATATACATATATGGGCATGCAATTTATAAGAAGTAAAACAAAGTTTAATAAAAGCATTTGATAAGTAAAAAGATTTTGTAAAACATTTTGAAGTGAAACAGTTTGATAAACAGTTGAACAGTGATAAAATCATTGGTTTTCTAGTTATTAATCACATGTGATTAATGCAATCACATGTGATTGATGTAATAACCATAAGTATTTGACTTGTATTCCCCCCCCCCCATAAAGTATTTAAAACATTTAAAAGTATTTCAAAGGTTGATTAAAGGGGTATGAACTCACTTGAGGTGAGTAGATTGAATTGATGTATCGGGTACCGTGCTAGGTGGAAAACGGAGACTTGTTCACACGTTCGAGCCTAGTTATCATATAATAAGCATATATATAACTAATTAGCCAAATAATAACTTAACAAAGTAAGTTAAGACACTTAGGAATATGTATACACTTTATATAAGTGTTATAGGTCCTAATGGTTGCATCTAAGTTGATACGGGACAAGGCAAAAGGGGTTTAAAGCACAAATGGCCTTGTATATGAGTTCACCACCCAACAAACCCCACCCTTTGGAGTTTATGGTCATAAACTCCTTGATTTTATGGCCGTGAACTCCTCACATGGAGGTTTTGGGTGTTTTAAAGTGTTATCTTGATCCTAGGTAAGTCCAGCCTTGTTGGAACAATCCTTGAAGTAGTTTAAGGCCTTGGAATGCTCCTTTGGGGATTTTACGGCCAAAGGACCATATTCCCTAGAGTTTACGGCCGTAAACTCCTATGGGGTGTTGGTTTTAATTCTTTTGAGGCCCTTGCATGTGTAGGATAGCTTCCATGCTTTTATCTAAGGCTAAAGGGGACAAGAGGCACACTTTTATGTCATCACTTGGAGTTTACGGCCCAAGATATGTTCCTTGGCCGTAAACTCCCTTTAAGGGGTGATTTTGATGTCCTTTAATCCTCATTCAAGTTCTAGGTATTCAAGGGTAATAGTGTTAAGGTCTTAGGGGTGTTTGTGGCATCTTTAACACTTGAAAAAGGGGTTTACGGCCCAAGATCTTTCCTTGGCCGTAAACTCCTAAAACCCTAAGATCTTGAAGTGTTTTGGTGTCCAAATTAAGCACAAGAATTAGTGGGTAAAGTCCTTAAGCTTTAGGGGATGATTAGGGCACACTTTGTCCCTTGGAAATGGGGTTTACGGTCCAAGAAACTCTTGGCCGTAAACTCCAATAGTCTTATGATCTTGGATGATTTTGGACATTTAAACAATGTTATAAAGCATATAACAAACATTAAAACACATTTAGGCAAGTAGACTCACAATCCGGGATGAAAACCCGAAGATCCGTCAGAGAGAATTGGCTTTTCTCTAGTTGGAATTGTGAATAATGAATTAATTAAATTCAGAAATCTATTTATAGTCCTGGAATATTTTGACATAAAATATTTTTATTCCGAAAGTCGGACTATAACATTATGAAACTTACAATGTTCAAGTTTCACAATTACAGGAGCATCCACTCACCTGATATGTCCAGAAATGTAAACCCTAATGTACACAAACTTGTTCAGACAAGTCTGAAAATTACAGAAACTGGACTAGCTTCTATTGAATAGATAATGTTCGTACAAATGGAAATTTCGGGTTGTCACATCATCCCCCCGTTAGAAGGAATTTTGTCCCGAAATGAGAATTTAAGCAAATAAGAAGTTACAAATAACTAAGCGAAAAGATGAGGATATTTCAGTTTCATCTGATCCTCGCGTTCCCAAGTGAATTCCGGTCCTCGCTTGGCGTTCCAGCGAACCTTCACGATAGGGATACGGCTTTGTTTCGTCTGCTTGACCTCACGGCCCATGATCTCTACAGGTTCTTCCACGAAGTTGAGGCTCTCGTTGATCTCGATCTCGTCGAGTGGGATTACGAGAGTCTCGTCGAACAGACACTTTTTCAAGTTAGATACGTGGAATGTAGAATGTACGTTACGAAGTGTGTCGGGTAGATCAAGTTTGTAAGCTACGGGGCCGACTCTTGCGAGAATCTCGAAAGGCCCTATGTACCTAGGATTAAGCTTCCCACACTTACCGAAGCGTATCAAGCCCTTCCATGGTGAGACTTTGAGAAGGACTCGGTCTCCCACCTGAAATTCCAAAGGTTTTCTTCCTTTGTCAGCGTAGCTCTTTTGTCGGTCTCTAGAGGCTTTCAATCGTTCACGAATCTGAACGATCTTCTCTGTCGTTTCCCGAATGATTTCCGAACCAGTGAGAGTACTATCGGAAGCTTGCCCCTAGCTAATTGGGTATCACCCACCTCAGCCCAGCACAGAGGGGATCTGCACTTTCGGCCGTAGAGAGCTTCAAATGGTTCTGCCTTTATGCTCGTGTGATAACTGTTGTTGTAGGAAAATTCGACGAGGGGTAAATGAGTATCCCACGCTTTTCCAAGGTCAATTACACAAGCACGCAACATATCTTCTAAAGTCTGGATTGTCCTCTCACTCTATCCGTCAGTCTGTGGATGGTAGGTTGTGCTCATGTCCAGCCTTGTTCCTAGGGAATGTTGCAGTGATTTCCAGAATCTTGAGGTGAACCTACTATCTCGATCGGAGATAATGGATATCGGTACACCATGTAGCCGTACGATTTCCCTAATGTATGTTCTTGTAAGTTTCTCCATCTTGTCGGTTTCTTTGATAGGCAGGAAGTGTGCAGATTTGGTCAATCTATCAACGATGACCCATATGGTATCAAGTCCACCCGTTGTCTTGGGCAACTTGGTTATGAAATCCATAGTGATCCGCTCCCACTTCCATTCTAGAATCTCTGGTTGTTGCAGTAAACCGGAGGGCTTCTGGTACTCGACCTTTACCTTTGCGTAAGTAAGGCATTTACTTACGAAGGTAGCAATCTCTGCTTTCATATTAGGCCACCAGTATAGCTTTTTAAGATCCAGATACATCTTATCTGAACCTGGGTGGACGGAATACCGAGTGTTGTGCGCCTCGGTCATGACTAAGTCTCAGAAACCACCGTGTTTCGGTGTCCAGATCCGGTCCATGAAGTATAAGGTTCCATCACCCTTGGCTTCTAAATTCTTGTCCATTCCTCTAAGGGATTCACTCGTCACATTTTCAGGTTTCATGGCTTCAAGTTGGGCCGCCTGAATTTGATTAGAAAAGTGTGAATGGATGGTTATTGACACTGATTTGACTTTGCGACCAGAATATTCTTTCCGACTCAGGGCGTCTGCTACTACGTTGGCTTTACCCGGATGATAACGAATATCGCATTCGTAATCACTGAGTAGCTCGACCCACCGTTGTTGTCTCATGTTGAGATCCTTCTGATCGAATATGTGTTGTAAACTCTTATGGTCGGTAAAGATAGTGCTCTTCGTTCCATACAAGTAATATCTCCAGATCTTCAGAGCAAACACCACTGCTCCCAGTTCAAGAGCGTGGGTCGTATAGTTAACTTCGTGTGTCTTCAACTGTCTGGAGGCGTAGGCGATGACCTTACCTCGCTGCATCAGAACACACCCGAGCCCTTGGTTCGATGCATCGCAATAGACTACGAAGTCTTCTATCCCTTCGGGGAGAGATAGTATTGGCGCGGTGCACAAGGCTCGCTTGAGCGTTTGGAACGCTCTCTCTTGTTTCTCTTCCCAGTCAAAGGCCACGC